CAGCGCCGAGCCGATCCGCAGGAACTTGTCCGTCTCCCCGTTGATCTCGGCTCGCGCCTCTGAAACACCCAACCAAACCTCACAATCACTGAAAAAAAACCTCGGTGTATTTACTAAGAAAAGGGTAAAATTACCAAGAATTCAGGGTTCTATTTGACCCCAGTTTTTTCTTGGTCAAATCACCATTTATGGAATTGGTAATTTTACCGAGAATTCTCGGTAAAATTATTGAATTTCTCGGTAATTTTACTGGTCCCCGGTAAAAACGCCAATATTTTTTATCGACTGTGGTAGAATTACCGAGATAAAATGGCAAAGTTACCGGGAATTGATTACCAATAAAAGTGGTATTCTTACCTAAAAAAAAACAGTAAAAATACCGGTTTTTAGGTAAGCTTACCAGTCTGTCTTGGTAAAATTACCAGTAATTCGTAAAAAAAAAGTAAGATGGTAAAGGTACCAACGGACCTTGGTAAAAACGCCGAGAATTTTTTTTCAGTGATCATCAAAATCACCAAAAGGACCGATGGGTCAGTTGCGCTGCTCACAGAATCCTGTTTTAATGTTTTATTCTTGTAGATTAGCGAAAAAAAATCAAACCGCGTTCTACGTTCAAAATAAACCGAGTTATCGCCTTTTGAAAAGTTGGGTTTTTGACGTCATCCACACGGAGAAAAAAACTTCGTGCATGGGACCCGAAGTTGAGGTCATATGGATCCCTGAAGTTTTTGGATCACGCATCCGAAAACTTGAGGTCCAACTGCAGAAGTTCAGGTCAGACTTCTGAAGTACTTCGGTATATACCGAGGGGTTCAGGTCGCATATCTCAAGTACTCCGGTACATACCGGGAGCTTCAGATGTCTGACCCAAACTTCGGCAGTGGGACCACAAGTTCTCGGATGCGTGATCCGAAAACTTCAGAGATCCATACAGGGTGAGCGAAAAGTCCCCGACCCCCCCTCTAACTTTTGAACGAATTGAGCTAAGGAAATGAAACTTTGGGAATGTTCCTATCTCAAAGGGGACCATCTTTTGAGGGGGTCAAAATTTTGGTCCCCCCCACAGGGGGGGACAGGGGCCCCCAACTTTTTTTTTCAAATAGCAACCCCTATCTTGTGATACCTCATTCGAAAGAACATAAAAACTAAGAATTTTGGCGCAAACCGCAGATCAATATCTCAATTTTTGACCGAGTTATGATAGGTCAAAGGTCAAATTTGACCTATTTTCAAAAAATCATAACTCCGGTTCAAATTATCGTAAAGAAAAAAATAAAACGGGAAAATTTACCAAATTGTATTCGCTTTTACGTAAAAATTGCAGAAATCACTTCGATTTAATTTTAAGGGGGGGCTCGGACCCCCAAATACGTCAAGTCAAAGGTCATTCAATTTTCCTGCGAAATAAGCCAATTTCCTCTGGATTTGCCTCCACATTATCTCAGTAAGGTCAAAATCAGTTCAACATTACGTTGGCAAGTCCCCAAATTTCGGGAAAAGTTAAAAAAACGAAATTTAAGGTGATTAAATTTGACCGTTTAAATTTCGTTTTTTTAACTTTTCCCGAAATTTGGGGACTTGCCAACGTAATGTTGAACTGATTTTGACCTTACTGAGATAATGTGGAGGCAAATCCAGAGGAAATTGGCTTATTTCGCAGGAAAATTGAATGACCTTTGAATTGACGTATTTGGGGGTCCGAGCCCCCCCTTAAAATTACAGCGAAGTGATTTCTGCAATTTTTACGTAAAAGCGAACACAATTTGGTAAATTTTCCCGTTTTATTTTTTTCTTTACGATAATTTGAACCGGAGTTATGATTTTTTGAAAATAGGTCAAATTTGACCTTTGACCTATCATAACTCGGTCAAAAATTGAGATATTGATCTGCGGTTTGCGCCAAAATTCTTAGTTTTTTATGCTCTTTCGAATGAGGTATCACAAGATAGGGGTTGCTATTTGAAAAAAAAAAGTTGAGGGGCCCCTGTCCCCCCCTGAGGGGGGGACCAAAATTTTGACCCCCCCAAAAGATGGTCCCCTTTGAGATAGGAACATTCCCAAAGTTTCATTTCCTTAGCTCAATTCGTTCAAAAGTTAGAGGGGGGGTCGGGGACTTTTCGCTCACCCTGTATGACCTCAACTTCGGGTCCCATGCACGAAGTTTTTTTTTTTTTTTTTCCGTGCACCGCGATAAAGGCACTCTTGATTTCTTCCACCTTGCTTTCATCCGCGTTTCACGTTGAACAAGTACAAATGTGCGTCACACCGACTGACGCAAACAAGTTGGAGGAAACCAAGGGCGTCACCACCGCGGTGGATGACGTCAAAAACCTAACTTTTCAAAGGCCGATACCTCGGTTAATAATGAACGTGGAAAGTCGCAGTTCGGACAGATCTTATTATTTCTATCCAATCTACAAGTATCAAACATCAAAACACGCTTCTGTGACCAGCGCAACTGACCATTTCAAATCCCTTACTCCTGTCATAGCCAAAAGAGCCGACAGTCTCAAATTTTCCAAATCCAGTTCCCTTCAAATTTCGTCAAATTTCTGTTAGATGAAATCACTGAAATAGCCAAAACAGCCAAATTCGTCTTATTTGTAAGAAAACGAGACACGTATCTCCTAATCGGCACGTGTCTCCTGATCGACACATGCGTCCTCTTATCGACACATGTTTTCTTATCGACACATATTCTCCGATCGACACATGCACTCTCATCGACGCATGTCCTCTGATCGACGCACTGATTTTATAAAAATTGCAATGTGTTGAACGAAAAAAATATATTAAAATATATTTAATGAAAATTTAAAAATAAAAATAATAAAAATGTAATAAATTTATATAAAATATATTGTGTGTAAATATATTAAAATATATACATTGTGGAGTTCGTCTAAAGACGAACTCCACAAACAATGTATGTAATCAAAATGACTGAGACAAAATATGATGATGAGCAAAATGTTGAGCAAAAAATGAAATAAAATTTGCCTAATAACGACTGATGAGAGTCAGGGTAAGCCCTTTACTAGATGAGTTTTTTAGATTAGGATTGCTGCACCAAGTAATTGTTCAACTCCTAGTAATGAGTCATTATGATATAGGCGAATCTAAACGTTGATTTCCGAAAGTAACTTTGAATTTATAGGGGATGAAACTGCGCGCGGTCTCTAGGATAAATTATTGTCTATTAATACAACGAATTCTGCGTGAAATATTGATAATAAAACTTATTTTGTAATGCTTCAACTCTTATCCTCACAAATTTCTATCAGCTTATCGGTAAAATAAAGTTGCAACTTCAGAGGAATTAACTCAAGATTGCAGAATGCGATGCACGAATGATTGCAGAATTCCATTTGTTTCACTGCTTCCGAAACTGCTGGTTCCTCTAAAGGATCTGCTTCAACTACGTTATGGAAGGCATATCAAGGAAATAATTAAACTTTTTGGTATTAACTTTTAGCCAATCATTAATGGAAAGGTATTTTCCCCTCGGAGAATATCAGCTGAAATAAAAGCATTACGAAGTTTAGACTGGGAAGAACTAACAAATTGGTAAAAGTATGTTCCGAATGCATCGAAGTTAATTAATTGAAGTTTCAGCGAGCAGAGAACACGCGTTTGTTTACACTCCAGTCCCCTAGAGGAAACAACTGTGCGTGAAAACGTCCTTGCCAAATCTACCTCGCGATTTTCTCGTCCAGCATGAAAACATGTAATATTAGAAAGGATATATGATACTTAATACACCATACTTTGGGAGTCTATTTTCTGAGTCAAAATGAAACTTGCTAGTTCTCCTCAGGTTTCTCAGGAAACACTTTTTTTCGGTGCTAGAGACCGTCAGAGCTGTAGATCTTTTTTCGCAAATGACCATATAATTCTTTTTCAAAGCGACAAATGTTAATGAGAAAAATTTGATTCTAGAAGTAGTTTATAGCACGCTTTTTAACTTTGTGGTTTCAAAGGTTCACGCTTGCATAGGAAGGCAGTATGAAAGAAATTTACCTCGAAGAAGTTACACTCATCTTTAATGTTTCAACCTTGCTCAAAATGTCCCGATTATAACTAGACCTTTGAAACCACAAAATATGGAAAATGCACTGAAAGATGCTCTCACGACTTAATTTTTACTAACATTTGACGCTTTGAAAAAAAGTTATGGACTTTCGGAAAAAAATCGAAAATTTTGAAAAGTACTAGCGCCGGGAACCATTTTTTTTTCCAAAGAAATGTTCATACAACAAGTAAGTCTTACTTTGACCCCAAAAATAGGTTGCCATCGTCCCCTTCCAGCCAAAGTATTTCATGTGCCCTGTGACGTTTAAAAATTTCCGCCGCCATTTTATTTTATATGGAGAAATTGTTCAACGAAGCTGTCCGAAATTTCATTAAATTTTCTTTGTGCTGCCGATAAAATTCAAAGAAATTTTCAAACAGACTCAATCACCAATTTCTCCGTAAAAAATAAAATGGCGGCGGAATTTCTGAAACGTCGCATGGCAATTGTGATACTTAAGCCAGAAGGTGACGAAGTCATGGTGCTTTAACTTTCAAACACCCGATACATTTATTTTAGACTTAGAATCGTGGCATAAGTTTGCTGACGTGCGTTTTATGTGACCGCCTTTCGGCCTTTGAGAGAGATGCTACTGAGGTAAAATAATCAGGAGGAACATTTAAATCGAGTGGTAGCATTTTGTCGAGACAGCAGCATTGTAGCAGCATACTTCTCACGATTTGCCTTGGCGCGCGCGTCAGATGTTAGCGAAACGAAAACGCCTTCAATTACGTGAGTATGCAGTACGGACATCCGAAGAGTACGTTTAGTTGTATCCAATATTGTCATATAGGAAACATCTCTACTAGCGTAGCGTACGCAAAAACAGACTAAGTAGATCTGATATAGGGCACGGTGTTCAGCCAATTCTTGAGCTTTGTACTTGAAATGCGACGAGTAGACAATTCTTTCGTCTGGTTTAGATGGTTATTCGAGATACACATTGTGGGTCGAAAATTTCCATTTTCGGGGTTTCGTTCTGAATGA